GTCAACTCAAAGTCAAACATATTTCAATCAACAAACTCTTCACTATGCTAAAACAATCCAACTAAACTACCAAGCAGAATTAAAGAATAAGGAAGACTAATGGGCTATGTACAATATAAACAAGTTGGTGTGAAAATCATGACCAAAAGAGTGATGCAACATTACCATGCAATGTTTATGTCTGAGAACCAAGGATTATCTTGAAGAATCTGGAAATGAAGTTAAGTTAGTCTTGGAACAAACTTAGACAATAATCAGCAAACGTTTAGACAACCATTCACAATGCAAGATCAGATAAAATATTATTTTAATAAAATAATGTTTTAAATAATGATCTGCTGAATAAAACCAACCTTCTGGATGACCATTTCTCAATGGTGTCTAATTAGCTGCCTTTATTTATTAAAATAATATTTAAAGAAATATTATTAAGGGAGTATTTTGGAAAAGAGCCAAATCTTTCTGGAGAAATGGGGCTTAATGGTGTTTACTTAGTTATCATATTTAGTAAAATGATGTTTAGGGACTATTATTCACTAGCTTGAAAACTAACAACCTTTCTGTTAAATACTCTTTAGTAGCAAGCACGTGTTCTTACCGGTTAGCCGTTGAGCTAACAAAGGAGGCTGATAGCTTAGCACCAGAATCAAACACACAAACACATACCTTTAAAATACCAGGGTTAATAAAAGGGTTAAAATGCATAAGCGCGGACGGCGCGTTATGATCAATCTTCTTTTTAAAATCACCAACAAAGAACACAACCTGAAGCGTGTGCTGCAGATATTCTGGTAGCACCAAGATAGCTGAGTTCAACACAAACAAAACCAAACTTCATAAAATGAAAAACGTTTAGATAATTTCGATCTAAATCTTTCTATTATTGTTCTGCCCAAACCTAACCTCTGACTATGCTGAGGAAAAGCTGTCCGGGGCGGCGAACTTTGAAGAAAGCATCCACAGTGAACAATGGTTAGCTACCTCCTTAGCTAACCTCCTTAGCTGCGGAGGGGTTTGAAGGTGCGGCCGCTCTCTCCGCTGACCACACTGCACGTTAACTGCTGTAATGCGATCTCCGTTGTCCTTCCTTGGGAAACTGCTGCACTCGGCGTCGTGCTAGGAACTCTCTGGAAACAGTTTGCTTCTGCAGATCTCAGAGAGAACAGTCAAGCAATGCTTGTACCTTGATTACCCCGTTCATGAATGAAAATCACCGGATACGCAGACAGTGATTTATTTCTACTTATCTTGTGCATATGATCGTGGGATTGTATGACACCCTTGGATCCTGTTGAAGAGTTTATGTCTGTTTGCCAGCAAAGAGACATCAGCAGGCTGGGCCTGCTCCTGTCCCGATGACCACTGGCGTGGAGAGATCGGACCATTGGAGACAAGTCAGGCGGATGTTTGCATTGAGTACACGCAGACGTCCATGGAGTAAAGTACACTCGACTATGTTCTGCCCTTAAACCCTTCAACTTGTATCCAGAGTTAACTACGACCTGGTGTGTGTAAACCCGCTGATTGAGGACGACAAAGGAATCTGAGCCAGATGTTCCTAGACAATATGGTGTCTCTAATCAAGTCGAGCAAAGTGGTTTTCCCGCTGCCTAAAAGAGGAGGGCATCATAACTGCCAGCATCACACACCTTCCTGCGTTTTTGCCCAGGTGGCATACCCCTCTCTTAGCAGGCACAGTTCTTTGTAACCCTTCGGTCCTCAACTAATTGCAATTTGGACCTCCTGTTTTTCAGTTCATGTAGGAGGTCGGTATGTAGGAGGTTGTGTTTAAGCAGAGAAAATTAGTTTAGGATGAAACAATGTAAATTTATGTATGTAATTATTTCAAAGTGTTTTCCTTAGTTTGAGGTGGTAAAATGGCTACCTGATGAAGTTAATGTGATCAGGCCTTTAAGCCTTGAGGCTGGTTTATTGTCTTGGGTTTTGTTTAAAGGTATGACAAACTTTATTTTAATGCTCATATACATCTTAATCTTTGTATTAATGGTACTTCAAGCAGATGTGCAACTAAAAGGGTTGTGAAAAAGCTACTGTGTTAACCAAAACAAATTCTAGCTTATCCTAACGCTAGCAAAGTCAAATATTCACATACCACTGGTCGTCATCTTGTGAGTCCATAGACGTTCCTCTCCCTCCATAATTTTAGTAGTTTAGTTTAGTAGCACTCCATGTTGTGGTTTGTTAAGATAATATTTAGATAATTTTCCAAAAGAGTATTGATTTATAATTCGGCAATATTTTCTTAAACATCATTCTTACTAAATAATGACGGTTAATTAAAGCAACTTTAAGAATCAATTATCCAAAAGGTTATTGAACTCTAGTTTGGCATTCTTTAAAATATTATTTTATTAAAATACTGTTTTACTTACCTTCTAATTGTCTATTGTGACTAGATGTTTGAAAGCATAATTGCTGTCCTAAATTAGTTTGAACCTAATTTAACCTCATTTCCAAATTCTTCAAGATAAACTGTGGTTCTTAAACATAAATATCCACATTGAACTGTCATATCATTGCATCAGTTTATTTGTTCACTTGTTCCTTTATTTGTACATAGTTTCTTAGTTTCTTTATTACTACATTTTGCTTGTTAGTTTAGTTGAATTGTTGTAGCCTAGTAAAGAGTTTGTTAATTGAAATATGTTTACCTCTGAGCTGAATTGTTTCTGTTACTAATTTTTCTAATAAATTCTTATATTAGGCTGCACGGTGGCGCAGTTGGTAGCGCTGTTGCCTTGCAGCAAGAAAAAAATATCAAGCAGGTCCTGGGTTCAACTCCCGGCTGGGGTCTTTCTGCATGGAGTTTGCATGTTCTCCCCGAGCATGTGTGGCTTCTCACCAGGTACTCTGGCTTTCTCCCACAGTTCAAAAACATGACTGTTAGGTTAATTGGTTTCTCTAAATTCCCCTTGGGTGTGAATAGGTGTTTGCATGGTTGTTTGTCCTGTACGTCTCTGTGTTACCCTGCGATGGACTGGCGACTTGTCCAGGGTGTACCCTGCCTCTTGCCTGTAGACTGCTGGAGATAGAAGATGAATGAATGAAATTCTTATATTTTAAGAAGAAGTTGTTGTGAATTTATTCCATATGTGTGCAGAGTTTGCTGTTTTAAGAATACTAGTGCCCTAATCACTCTTTTATCTACTGTTCTAATACCACTGCTGTATTGGGCTGGTATTCCCAGGACAATTCTTAAAAGACTGAAAGTTATTTCATTAAATATTAAATACCTTAAGCACATTGCGCAACACAGACCAAATTATTAGCAAGTACAATTAGGGTCATGTCTTTGTGGGTGCTACAATAATTTCGTGCTCAAGACCCAAAATGATCCCAGCAATGAAATGTGCTTCATATGCATTGTTTTTATTTTTAAAGGCTGTTTCCAGTGTGCAAATGTCTGTGCTTTTTTTCTGCTTCAGTGTTTTTCCTCTGTGCGTTCCACCTTCTTTCTTCAAATACTTTGCACATTCAGGAATCACAAGACCGAAGGAAAGACACCGTGTCACATGACACTCCCCTCCAACAGCCCTGGATAATTTTTGCTTTCCTCTCAGCCGTAGTGCAAATACTACTGCTGCACTTGGTGGAAAAATCACGATTATTTGTAAAATGTATTTGTCCTAAGACCACAAAGATGTATGTTTTATTGTTCTTAAATTCCTGTGGTCAACAGTCAGCAGAAAATAAGGTTGATGACAAGAATGACACATCTGCTGTCTAAGCTGAGTAATATCTTTAAACTTGACTGTTTCTGAAGGGTTGTTTTGACTCATTAAAACAACCACAGGGTTGATGGGGTCAGCAGTTACATAAGGTTTGCTAAAAAACTTAATTCAGTCTTAAAAAAGAACTTATCACAAACATTATTTTCACTGATTGGATCTTTTTTTACTCTCTTCAGTCTCTGATATGTCTGGCTTGTGCTGGTGCTGTCGGCCTTGGTCTGAGCCTCCTTGCTCTGGCCGTGTACTTTGTGTGCTTATGCTGCTGCAGACGGAGCCTGGATGAAGAAACCAAACGGCCTGATACCTGTTGTGTCACTTGGGTCGCAGTTATTACAGGTCTCATAATATGGTAAGTAAAAGTAGTTGAAAACTCCTGTTGGGTTTGTTCTTTTTTCAGAACTACACCAAGATGCACATGTAGGTCATTTAAATGTTCTACACAAACACTAACAAACGTTTTGCCCTTTCAGGATAGGTTTCATATGGATTAGTTATTTACTAATGCCTTAAATCTAATTTTCTCTTTAATCGTCATTGATACATGAGAATAGAAACCAAGTAAGCAGTGCTAATGAAGGGAACAGTTTTCTTCATTAACTTCACATTTTTTTGGGATGACCTTAGATGCACTTGCTTTTATGTCTCTGCATCTTCAGTTGTTTTAAACCCCTTGATCTCACAGAATGTGTTGCTCTGTACACTTTCTTAGTGTACAGACTACCTGAAAATCTCTCAGTGCTCAGCTTGTCATCTCCCGAGTGGTGTACTGTCAAGCAGGGTTAATGGCTTACTTTTTATTGTCACAAAGATCTTTCATTTTAAATAAGATTCTAACTGTAACAGGATAGTTTGCTCTGGATCCATTTTATATGTAATTGTACTTCTGGATAAAATGATTTATAAAAAAGGCCATATCTCTCTTGCAGTTTTTATTTTTATTTTTTTTCATAAAAAGTCAGGAAAAACAGACTGAAACAACTCTCAAATTTTGTCAGGGACAAGTACTATGTCAACACTAAAACTGTTGGCTCCCTTAATACCGATGTTTTTATATTGCATTTCTCGTTTTTAATGTAATTTACTATACCTCTATTTCTTTGTTTTCTTATAAACTACTTTATTCATTTTCTAATGAATGGTGGAATACCACTAAACATGCCTTGTCCTGCCTTGGCTTGCCCGTGGAAGTCTAATTAAAGGCATTTTATTAATGTTAAACAAATGCTGAATTTGTGGCAGAAAGCCAATCCATTTATGCATAGTCAGTTTATCATCTTCAGTTGATCAGCATACCAAATGATCAACTTTAATTGTAAAGTTTAACTTCTATATGGATTGTTGAAATGTAACATTAACTAATGCCTTAACTTGCTTATAGAACATAATTAGTTTAATATTTAATAACTTGTTTGATTCTCGTCTGGGACAAATCTAAAGACTCATGTGTGTTGCCAAACATTGTGCCACCAAATGCGTTTTGCAGTTGCAATAAAACAATCTAAACAAAACTAAAAGCTTCATGTTACCTTGGGGACCAGTTAGATGAGTAAGAAAAAAAACATATACATGATTGTGTATTTTGAACAAAAATACTCAGAAGTTCAACTTGCACTGCTGGTGTTAAATGAGAAAGATTATAGAATTCATTGTTCTGTGTTGGACCACTTGTTTGCTGAATATTGGACCATTTGCACGTTGTTGGACGCCACTATGCCTTTCCAATGTCATCGGCCATTTTGTATCGCAAGATAGTCTGTCCTACAAAACCCAGCGGCCACTGCGGCTGATATGACGTCAAACCGTCACAGGTTTGACGTCACAGGAGGCAATATAGGAAGGCGAACATTTGAAAGAATCGCTTTTCAGCTGGAGACCGGACCAGCAACTGAAGTGCATCACTTCTGGAGAAGAGTCCCAAGTGGATTTCATTTATTCTCCTTCGTTGGCCAACAAAAAATTCATGAAAGAGGTTTCTGAAATGAGAAGGCCAGAAATTTCACTTTGCTGATCGAAGACGTGAGTTTAACACATAACCAAAACCACGTAGTTTCAAGGAGACGCAACTTTCCCTCCTTGCTTGTTCTAGTCGACTTCAACAAAGTAAAACCCATCCTTTAATTTTATTTCTCTCTTAGAAATAGTCTGGGCAGGGTAGAGGAAATTTTAGTGCGATTAGAGTTGCCATTTAGAGTCTAATGTGGTCTGAGTTGTATGTGCATGCCATTGTTTTGAAACTTGCTGGTACTTTCGGAGGCCGCCGTGTCTCGCAAGTGTGTTTTTACCGTGCGAACACCTGCCCGCAGGTGCACTGTGAAACTGGACCGCTATAATAACCTTATGGTGAAAATCAACCATTTTCTTTGTCTTAAACTTTATGTTTTACTGGTTTGCCGCCAAAAGGCTTTATGATGCTGTGTGTGGACTGGGTTTTACAACCTTGCTGGGCGAAAGTTTATGACTGCCCATGTCCCGCTGAGCTACACTTTGGGAGGGGCGCAGCCAAAGCTTCGTTCAACCATATTCTCCTTTTATTTTGCCATAACTGCCATAACTTCTGGTTTGATCTCATACACCCCCACTGCTGTTTTGTTTTATTTTGTTTAGTTAGATATTTTGCCCTTTTGTGTAGAACTTTGCATGTTTGAGTAGGTGAAGATTATTAAATCGGAAGAGCGGATTGTATCAGGCTGTGATTTAATAAATATTCACATAGATAAACAGAAGGTGTTTTGTGTTTATTTTGTGCAATGTGATTTATCAGTCAAAATAAGGTTAAAGTTCCACACGTTTTGTCAGAAACGGTCGATTAAACAGGGACATGAACTGTTTCGGCAGAAACCGTCGATTAAACAGGGACATTACATGGTAATAGTTGTCAATTATTAGTGAGTATTTAACGGTTGTAATTAACAAAGGCGTTGAGCCACAATTACAACACCAGAGGACATCTCTGGCTTCGATTCATAAATGAGGATTTTGGTTAAGAAATTAATTTTGTCAAATTATGATTGTTAATTATAATTCTTGATAAATATTAATTAATCA